CTCTATATAAGGCGGGAGTATTACTTTCGCATATCCTCTGAACCTGATATTGCCAGGCCCACTCCAGAATATTGGCAATCTTGCAAATAAACCTAGAAATCAGATTACTTCCAAAATTGTTTGGGAACACGCACATTTTGCTGCGAGGTTAGGTTGGGGTTGTCTGGTGATAAAGTGTTTGTGCAAAATAGGAATAAGAATAGATTCCGAAACCTCCGAAGTGGAGATTTATTATTTTGTTTCCTTTTTATGTACCTCGTGATTGAGAGATGACGTTGGATCACAAATGTTTTTCTTTAATGTATGAACAACATTTTACGTATTACAGTGTGTGTTGTAGTGTGAACGGGACATATTTTTGTACCTGAAAGATGATGAAAGTATTTATATAAAACTTAGTGATAACATTTTCTGTTTAAAGTTTTTATATTTTACCACTCCATCTTGATGGAACACGAATGATTTTAACCGTCCTGACTTTGTATTATTAACATAATTTCAGCTGACGGGTCTCTATACAAGCCGTCTTTAATTTTATTATTACGTATCACCATATCATCTTGTTGGGATAAGGATGAATCTTACTGAGTCAGAGGGATAGTTTTGACGTAAATACGTCTATATTTTCGGGTCAGTGTCATTCGGCAAAAAGTGAAACGAAAAAGTGTAACTGCATTGTTATGTTACCTTGGAAACGTCAATTGTTTACTCGGCATTATTGTTACCTAGCAAACGTCAATTGTTTACTCGGAATTATTGTTACCAAGGAAACGTCATCTGTTTACTTAGCATTGTTGTTACCTATAAAACATTTTATTACATTACCTTATATTACATTACCTTACCTTACCTTACCTTACATTTCATTACATTACATTACATTTAGCTACCACAGACCCATCTTAAGCGTAACTAATTCAAGTTAAATAAGCAAAGTCAATTGTAAAGCGGGTATAAAGGAAATATTTAGAATAAAGCCAATATATAAACTTCCTTTCCGTATAGACGTATTGAGTCTAATTCTCCGGAACCGTGGTTCCACTATCACTTTTTATTTATTAAAAATTAAATTTGATGGACGTAAGCTGTCACAGACGCTGACACGCCTTTAACCCAACAAACGAACATACAAAAACCATATAATTTTCGAAATATTTTCTCTGTTCAACTATAACCGCCATTTTACAAAATGGCGAGGCTCAACATTGAGGAAAATGCAGTTTACAACGTAAGTTAGTGTGCTATATTCTTCTTAGACCGTTACAGTACTGGTTTGGTGAACGTAATTATTTTCTTAATTACACTCTTCAGCAATCTTCTAGTGTAATATAACGAGTTTACGACCTGGAACAAACAATTTGCATTCATAAGCTAAAATAATGGGATGGTTTGATTTAATTAAGATGCTATTGTAATGTCATCTTTGAATTTTGATATTGAATTTGGCTTTCAAATTTACATCTTGCAAACTCTGAATGGATTTTATACAGAGTGTACACAAAAGAATGGTGCGGTTTCAAAAGTTAATAAAACATTTATTTCTCACCTTACACGGGCACAACATACACGTCAGCGGCGGCAAGTGTTCAAGTTTCTCATGCGTTAATTACAATCCTTCAATGTGTGCACCCTGGGTCACACGACACACATCCACACGGTAATCAAACTCATCCCAGACCCGGTATAGCATTTCCGCTGTAATGGCCTGCATTGCAAGCGTTATCCGATCATGAAGTTCATGGATGGACGTGGGCATTGGTGGTACATAAACGCTGTCTTTAACGAACCCCCAAAGAAAGAAATCGCACGGAGTAAGTTCTGGCGAACGGGGTGGCCAAGGGACACCTCAAAACGGAGCACACAGAAAGCCTTCTCCTGCTGCAACGCCATCTTTGAAACTGGCCCCGCGGCCACGCAGTAAGCATGAGAAGCGAACTGCTGGTAGCGCATGAGAAACTTGGACAGTTGCCGCCACTGACGGTGTCCGTGTAAGGTGAGAAATAATTTTTTTATTAACTTTTGAAACCGCACCGTTATTTTGTGTATACTCTGTATAATGAAAATATTACACAAATACTGTGGGCCCATTTGCGTTTGTTACTAAAATAATAATTACCTTTAAATCCATTTCGTTGAGAATCGATATTTTAAATTTTGGCGGTAGAATATTTTAGAATAAATACTTTGCCCGAAGAAAATGTAACCTAGATGACTATCTTCTGGTTTGTTACGCCGTGTGGTCTGTTGGAAGTTTAACTATCTTCATTACCCTGATTATGGAGGCAGTAAGCACTTCTGAAACGTAGGGGTCTAATACCAGATTACACGATGCACCATCTCGGACTAGAGTTATCTTCATACTCTCAGCCGTGAGAACCTGAAATATTACAAATAAATGTTAGCCGTACTACTTAGTGCCATACTAGTTAACGTTTTTTTTGGGGGGGGGGAGAAAATTGTATTTTAATCTGTTCTAAAGGAATTTTATTCTGATTGAATAGCTAAGGCTCCTCATTAAGCATTCTGGTTGTTTGCTTCGCGACATCAACGCATTTATTTTCCAGTGGTTATCTCACACACATTCTTTTAGGCGTACTGTTGGAATTTACTTTAAAGCAGATAAGGTTGACTTTCACTCATGTAACTTTCATCCTTATATTAAATTGATGAATAATACCTTTATAACTGCTTAAATTATCAACATGATACCGGATTATGAGGTTGGCAATCGCCCACTTCTGGATTATATCGTCTTCAATACGTCCTCAGTACGAGCAGGACAACCCAGTTAATACGGGTTAGACGATTAGGGCCCAGTTCTTGGAAGGAGTGAGATTTCTCGTTTTATACTACAGTAAAACCTCTCTAAGTTGAACACTTGGTGTTCCAGGAAAATGTGTCCAACTTAAAGAGGTGTCCAAGATAGAGGGAAAGAAAAATCAGATTGTGGTCTAATGACAATATAGTCTATTTACTTACATACACTAACTGCTGTAGCCTTACTTAAATTAAGAATTAATGACAATGGTATTAATAATAATCTTTTGAAGCCCACTCCCATGCATTGCACATTACACCCCAGCCTCAATAACATTTTCTGAAGTTTATTCCACCAATTTTCGCTTCCTCATCGCAAAAAGAAAAATTCAGTTTCTGTTAACACAGTCTGAACTCGAATGCAAGCACAGTACTGACGGAGTTAAAACTGTAGTCCAGTTAAGGGTTCAGCAAAAGAATATTTAAACACTTGCAATGCATTCCAATGATGGGTTCAATGTCCATAAGATAATCCTCCAGAGAGGAGGCATTCATCAGTCAGAAATTCAAAATAACAAAATATGTAACTGAAAAAGTTTCCCTGAAAAGCATCGAAGTTAAGTGCATGAACCTGTCCAACTTACAGCAAAAGGGGTATTCAAGTTTCAGGATAAAGAGGTGTCCAAGATATAGGGTATTGTGGACATATAAAATTATAGGATATTCTCCGGTTGCAATTAAAAGTGTCCTATACAAAGGGGTGTCCAGGATATAGAGGTGTCCTACTTGATGACGGAAAAATAGTGCTCAGAGAAGATGGCTGTCTTCTGGGTTGTTGCTGTTGTGGTATGGTAGAAGTTTGCAGACGTTTCAGAGGTCCTTGCTGCCTCCATCATCAGGGCGATGGTAGAGGCATTAAGGACCTCAGAAACGTCTGTAAGCTCCTACCAGACTACACGGCGCAACAACCCAGAAGACAGCCATCTTCAGACTCACCGCCGTGAAAATCTCAAATTCTAAATATTGTTCAAAAGTTTGTAAGAGGTATAGGAATTTAAGAGACGCAGATGACTATAATGAATGCTAACTACTGGTTACGCAAAGTGTTACAGGGTTATTGATTGTTTTTGGACTGTAGTGACCACCAGTGAAATATGAAATTTTAAGAAATTGGTCTCTTTTCACATCTCGGAGTTCTGTCGCCTGAGTATTTAACACGTGGTTTTCAATCTCATAAGAAAATTTGTAGGAATGCCAAAATTTAGGCTGAACGTATTGAAAGTATATTTAATAACTTACACAGCATAATAATTGTTAAAATTTATTTAAACGTGTTTATTTTGTGTTTATAACGATGAAAATTGTGCTTAAATTCTAAAATTTAACAACTGTATTGTATATCGCCAATTTTCTAAATACTTAATATCTGGGTGGAGGTAAATATTTAAATATTTCTTGCCTCTTGTAAGCAAATTGCTTCTTCGGTAATCGAAACTTTATTGCTACACGTGATACCACATAAAAAGCCGATATGTTTTCGAATTCACATGCTTATGTACACAGAAGACTTTCAACATGGTGTCTACGCCTGTGTGTTGTATAGTCCGTTGCTGCACTCATATAACTACTCTGATATTGCATAGAGCAGTGTACGGGCTTGTATGAGTCATTCACATATGGGCAGAGTGTAGTTAGGGGCGAGTTTATAAGCTTGTTTGTGGTAAATGAATTTTGTTTTATTGGATGCAATTTAGTTCCGAACTAAAAGTACAGATTGCGTCCGCAACTGTATGACTAAGTCATAATGAAAGAGTCAAATGATGTACCATCTATCCGCGCAGTTAGGCCACCCTTTGAAACATCTCATACGGAATTCAGTGACCCAGGCAAACGTTCTACACATCTTTACTTAACAATAAAGACAAATGTTGCAGATCTTTGTTATAGGACTATTTCAGAGCATAACCACTTTGTACTCTGGCGTTCAATAACAGCGGTTAACAATAAAGAAATAAAAGTAGAGAGGGAGAGAGAGAGAGGTGAGAATATAAGGAAGGAAACGTCAATAAATAAATTATCGAATAAAAATAACCGAGAAGTTTTCATTCCGTCTGTCGACTTAATCACTACCTTTCGTTTCTCGTACTGTATTCACAATCTTGGGTTAAATGAAATTTGTGGGTGTTGAGTATGTTAAATTCAGACCCCGGAAACTAACATATTTTGAGTTTATATTTTGTGTGAACTTACGTCATTGTGGTTAGTGATGGCTAATAATTAGAGCAGAAATTATAAACGTGGAGTCCACAATCCCTTATGTTGCAGTTAAAATTGAAAATTAAATTAAAACAATAAAGTGTTTTTGTTCAATATAATATATATGTAGAATCCATGAATAGTGCCACAGAATGAGCATGTTTACCAAGTACATATATTTTACTAAGAGGATCTCAGTAAAGATGTTTGTTTTTGTAAACTTTTTGCATTAATTAATTTGGTTCCTTTTTGATTCAAGCTAGGTAATTTGGAGCAGAATGCTCAAATAATTGTTTTCCCACCCACTCACTTGTATGTTTTAATTCGTCTTTTGGTTTTGTAATAACAGACATGCGACATTTAGTGCCTCCGAGGCATGAGTGGGGAATTTCGAAACGACACGTAACTTGAAAGGAATGGTTTCACCGTAATTAATGTTGCTTCCTGCCACCTTCTTCTTTATTTCTGCTGGTCGTAAATTAAACACCTGCTATAGTATCCCTAGCTGTGCCTTGGAGGCTTGGTAGATGGCAGGTTTACGTTTTTTCTGTAAGGAAATTGGGTCCCTTCTGTGGTATGGTAATTAATTTTCAGTCTAGATCAGAGACAATGCAAGGGAATCTCCAGTCGCCTGTGAATTTCAGTCACTGCCTCTGCTGTTGACCTAACATTCTCCTAATTCCAATTATAGAGGCATGAACCGTTAGTGGGAGAGATGCTGGTGTGTTTACCGACCACACTGTGCAAAAATTTTTTTTTTACTTCGTTAAACAAATTGTGGTTAATAATTTTAATTTTGATTTATATGGACGACAACATAAATGTCATAAACAAGAATACGAGAATGCTGTTGGACGATAATAAGTAGGGTGGTTCATAAATCGACACTGAAAGATACCAGGCCAATTTTGATTCATCGATTATTCGATCTGTCGTGTTTTCAGTTATTTAATTCCGTTATTTCAGGCACAGATATTTATGGCATTGAATGAAACTGGTAATTAATGGTAGTGAGTATGTGGGACTGTACAAATATAATAACGCCCTGATAATGTAGGCAGCAAGGACCTCTGAATCCATGTAAACGTCTGTCAGACTGCATGGCGCTTCAAGTCAGAGTGCAGCCATATTCGTTCCTTATTTTATTTGGACTACACTCTTCAAGTGTCAGTATTGCAAACATGAACGAGGATTGTGCTGCATAGGCGTTCGTAGATAAACAGTGAATACCAATTAAGATGTTAGTATAACTACTGACCAAGAGTGGATATTGCATGGTGTTATCCTTTACTAATTCTTACTGATTACAGATTAGGCAAAGTAATGCCTTTACCAATATAAAAATCAGTTTTCCGTGTCCCATTAGTCGTCGTATTCTTCGCTCTGTAGGGTATTCTATCCTGTCGTCTTTCATTATGTCAGTATGGTGTTTTATGTCTTCCTGCATGTCGCATTGTTACCCACTCACACGTATCCATTTTTATGTTTTTAATCGTGTGAACATGATTTCCTTATTTCCGCCTCATACATCTATCTTCTGTCAGCCCACTTCCAACGTCTCAGACATGTACCTTATTACGGATGTAGGCAATATTTTGTAAAATTCTATGATGTTCATTGTGCCTAATCTTGTTTTCTTATTGCTAACATTCATTGTTTTGAAATTGTGACACCATTTCAGTTAGCAGTGGAAAGCTTTTGAGTTTGATACAGCATTATTTTTAAAAGGACAATTACCTAATAATTTACGTACGTAAACTGTTCTCTTAATGCCTGTTTCTTATATGGTCTGTAATTAAGGACCGTTTTGTAATTCTGTTTGAATTCATTTCAATTTCGTCTTTGCATTTATTAGAATTGTATCCGTGTATGGACAGCGAATATCTTTATATAATCTGAAAGAGTATGCACACATGTGACTTAGATTTCTGTTTAATCACAGTTTTTAAAACTGGATTTCGTTTTGATCTATGGAGTTTTACGGAAGAAAGATTTTACATGAAGGGCGACTTGTTTCTCACCTTTACGTTAGGATCCAGCCCAGCACTCACGGACGTCGTATGAACTTCAGATCACACTTTTCTGGATCGTAATTAGTTTACACTCTCTACCTTTTGATCATTTCCGTTTGTTTGTAAGCACTGATGTTATTTCTTTTGTGAATTAACTTGTCCTAGCAGTGAAAATTGTTTTCCGACCTATCACGAATCGCGCAATCTTCGACTTCTCCAGCCTCGCAGAGATAAACTTTCTGTAACTTGGTACAAAATTAACTTATCTCTACCAACCCTGGAAGTTGTGTTAATAACGACATTACTGGCAGAACCCACAGAGAGCTTCTTTCAGTAGCTGTAACCTAAGCCTGTTGTGAGACGTACTCACTCGATTTTCTGGCGTAATGGATGCTACTTATTGTCAGTATCTCGTATTGTTTTACATGGCGCGGTCTGATGTGGTGCTTCCGTACAAAGGGCAAATCTCTTGAACTGCGGGGAGTCTGCATAATTAGCTCCGAGTCAGAATCTGATGATATCAGACACATGGCTTTACTGTTGTACGTATAAGTTACTGTTAATGTAGTAGTAGGATGGAGGCAGCAAGGACCTCTGAAACGTCGGTAAACTTCTACCAGACTACACGGCGCAACAACTCAAAGGACAGTCATCTTCAGTAATAATAGTATATTGAGTCTAAGAAGAAGGAATTGTTTAATTTCTAAGGTTTTATTTCAATACACTTCAAAGTACGTAAGATGTCGCTCAATCTCATTACGTTTCCGTCTTTTGAAGTCTTGCTGTCGAGGTGTGTGCGTCTCCACTGGTTCAAGTAGGTACATAAATGTTGTAAACGTTAGGCAAGTCATGCTTTGAAACTAGGTGTTAATACCATGTCATTGGATTCCGCCATATTTGTTATCCACCTTTATCCGAACTTTTGAAATAGCGACAACATTAGAGCCATTCATTACAGCATTTTCTGCAGTAAGATTTCTCTGAAAATCTGATTTTATGAAGTTTTAGGAATTATCTAGTTAGCAGGTTGCAAGTAATGCGAAATATTTTAGTGTGGCGACGAAAACAGGTGGTCATTAAAAATTTCACATGTGAAAATTGCGTGATAGCTTGTACCTATTTATAGGCCCCGATATTAAAATGAGAGTTGTTTAGTGCGTTACATCAATACGGCGTGCTATAACTCCGTTGTAATTTGTGTAAACAGGCAGTATTTCAAGTCGAATGAACCGCTATAAAGAAGTTGACAACATTAATAGAAGCTGTTATATGTTAAAAAACGTATGTGTGATTTATTGAGATGCCTCATAAGAATCAGAGCCCGTACCTCGAAGAAAATGCAGTGTGTCTCCATTACAAAGGTCATCTGATTAATGTTTTTTTAAGGAATAACCTTACAAATACACTATGTGGGCAGAATGCAGTTTTAATGATTGCTAAATTAGGTGGTACATACAGTTACCATTTGACTTAGGAATGTAACACACGTTACTGTGCTGTTAGATTTGTGTGCGAACTGTAGGAAAGGAATGTCGTGAAAAGGACAGGTGGCAGTTTCAAGTAGGTAACTATCATGGCCACGACTGGCCTGCAAGTAAAGTCTTCATGAAATATTCGAGGTTGTGTGTTATTCCACGAGCAAATACTTTAGAGCAGCAGTGGCGCAGGGTACAGCAGCGCAGAACTTTGGGTAAGAACTCCAGTAATAAAAAGCAAAACCGTAGATAGAATGAACGTAATGGAGGTAAAGAAGAAGAAGAACGTGGTTAAGATGAACGAGAGAGATACGAATGGTTATAAAAATTTCGTTATGGGATAAAATGGAAATGACATGTGAAGAGTCAAGGAGTGTTGTGTGCGGTTTTACGTCTTGTGCCGTTTTTGCATTGTGTCGTGGTAGCTGTTCCTGATATTTGCAGAGCCGAGGATGACGTCTGGAGGCTGTGGGGAAGACTCCAGCTGACGCCAATCTTGTTTATTTGATAACTCGTGGGACCTGGATGGCGAGAACATGGACCTGGCACTGTTTATGGCACTGTCCAGCGTCCAACTGGGAACCAGTCTCATGAGACGGCGTACGTCGCTTGCAGCCCCCGTCTGTCGGAAGTAGCGAAATGCGGAAAACGCCATTTGCTTTATACACAGCATTGCTTGTCAGCAGGATTATTTACTTCACGCGTTGTAAAGAGCCTGTCTAATTGTAAGTTGATGATATTAAACCGACAACTCACTTCATTTATTAAAGCGCTTGAGAACTATAAGAATAAATTTCAGGCAAGTACTGAAAATGATAAAAATAAATAAACCGAAATACGTGAGAGAAAGTAAAAAATATATAAATAATATTCTGCGATACCATAGCTGCGCGCAATTCTAGAACAGTGGCCAGCTGTGCCGGTCTCAGTGCCCATGTGGGATGTGGGCAGTGGGCATCGGTCTCTCGGACACTGGGATTGTGTGTTCGAATTCCGCCCAAGGCATGCGTCTTTCTGTGTTGTGCTGTCATGTACAGGCAGAGGCCTTGCGATTGACTGATACCCCGTCCAAGGACTCCTCTAACTAGATTGAGAAACCACTCATATACGAGTTGGCCAATACCCGTCAAAGAACGTAGAACTGCGGGTTGAGTAAGTGTCCAGGTGTGTAACATCGCGGTCGTCTAAAACAGAAGTTCTAGTATCGCGGCTGGTCGATATATTTTGTGTGGCTCACGTACATTTTTTGTAACATAATGTAACTGTGTATGATGAAAAATTCTTACGTTACATGAGAAAATTCCTTTTGTTAATGTTGTCAGTATTTCGCTGTGAACAGCTGCTCAGCGTAATGAAGAAAGTGAAATCAAGAATTAGGACGCCTCTCGCTGATTTCGGATGGACTGTGAATGTCAAAAAAAGAAAATAAACCTCATACAGAATGATTACTCAAGTAAAAATAGTGTACTCGTTGGAAATTAAATATTCCCTCAAGTTACAAATAATGCCTTCTGTGATATTATTATTATTATTAAAACCACAGGCTAATAATTATATCAGGAACAGTATAATGAGCCTATAGGTTTGGGGTGGAGTTATGGTTGGCGGATTTCATATAATTCTCTAGTAATTCTGTGGCAGTTACTGGTATAAATATATTCCTGTAACGATTGGATTTGCTGCTATGGAAAAACGGTATATAATGGAATTAAAACTAATATCATAGGAACGTTTGCTGTTCGTAGCGATGTTTTCCAACTTAAGCAGATTTATTTATCATTTCATTTAAGATCTACAGATTATCTGACCAGCTTCGCCCTGCGTCATTTGCTTCATCATAATGATGCTCCTATTGTATAAATGTAAATATTCTGTCAGAATGTCATTCTGTCTCAAACGTTCTGCACACTTTTATCGCCCTTTCTCTGCTTATTTATATTTCAACGCATGTGCAATATTGGCACACACAGAACTAAAATGTTCTCTGACGTCTATAACATAGAGCCCTAAGCAGAATTGTTCCACTCGAGGAACCCAGTGGGGAAATAAAAATCTTCGATTTGCCCTTTGACTTCGCACTATAATCAAGAACATCAGATCAGGAACTCTAAGAACAAAAGATAGAAATGAAATTACGTTTAAACACTTCGCTCCCACGTCCAAGCCCCC